ACATCATATACTACATTTGTCAAGAAGAACACATTTCCATTCAGGTACGTTAAAATCATCAAAAATAGTCATGAACTAAAATCAAATCCTTCTGCCCGAGTTTATCAAAACAACATGCTCTACGAACTTTGAAAAATCATAACAAATTCATTTTAACCCCAAATCACAAAATTACAAAACTCACAGAAACTTCATTCAGAGAACTACAAATCTCATGAAGAACACTTGTCTAGAAAACATCATCTTGTTTGGCAAAAATAGAGCCTAACTGAAGCTCGAAAAATTGAATTTTCATGCCTTCATCAACTCAAAATGATCACACAACAACATAGTCTCGAAATTACGTAAGTTACACGTTAAGAAAGCCTCAATATCAATACTTTAAGACTTAAACATCAATATCATCAAACACGTTGTCCGAGGTCCCACTCGGTCTTATTAAATAAGATAGAAAAATAAAGTCTTATGCCTTTCACTTGAATTATTACATCTTTTGGTTTGATAATATATAACAATTCACATTAATACATAAATTCAACTTCAATCATCGAAGATCACATATACATCACATGAACCCGACCAAACCTATCATGATATAAACGAGACTCTCAACCTAATACATTTATCTCATCACATCACATAAAGGGGAATCAATAAATCACATAATCAACTAACCATGCTTCGAGCTAGCATGAACTCACCCTTACTAAGGTACAAGAGACATTAAACACATAACACGCCAGAGGTTGAACAGAGGCCATGAACCTCCATGATACTGACGGCCTATAAAACATCGACTCATCTCATATTTTCGAAACCTAACAAAGGTCCGAAGAGGGCGAATAGATTCTCGGTTCTCATTGACCGGGTCCTCACTTGAAGACATTGAATATAATTATATAGCAAAAGGAAACTGCTATGGGCATAACTTATCTCGATAACAGCATGCCGAAACTCACAACGAGGAACCTCTAAAGTCCGAACTTAACTCTATATCAATAGAGTTCAACATCAAACACTAGAGTTCACATTAAACCAAAGGTGGATAGATTTCCTAAGCCCCAAAAGTCAATAAGTCATAACAGAAGCAGTTTCAATACTGCCTATATAAAAATATAAAATTTCACATCTTCACATTATAAGTATTTCTCGATACTTATTTAAACGCATACCTTAAGCAGCGCGGCGTGACGAAGACGAGTGGTCATAATTCAAAATGCAAACACATAATCACTTATAAACCAGTCTACAAAAACGCAACCTGGCTCTGATACCAAACTGTAACGCCCCACTTTATTTTAAAGGATTTATCGAATTTATTTAATAAAAATCACAATAATATTTTTTTTTTCAAACTTAAATTTATTTTAAAACTCAGTGGACGCTACTTATTTTACCAAAAGCTTTTATCCGTAAAAGCAAACACATTAAACAAAGATAGCATGCTAGAACATTAAATTATAAACCTCACTAGCATTCATTAAATACCAAATCATAAGAGATAATTCATAACTCCCAAGTTCAAACGACATGATCAATATCCAAATTTCGACATGAGTTCAAAAACTAAGCGGAAGCAAAATTAAATAAGCAATAATAAATGTCATAACCACCACTCGTCATCTCGTCTCGTCACCCGCCAACTGCTTAACCTGCATCAGTTACGAGCAGGTGGGAGTGAGTACAGTTAACTATCGTACTCACACTATGCATATGAATAACATAATAATGGTATGGTCGCAGCATGAACATAAACAATAAAATCATGTCACATCTCTAGCCACATCAATGACTATAGTCTCATCAAAGACTCACTCATGTACATCTATGCTCATCAAAGCTAAGCCATGCCATATCAGTGAAACATGGGAGTGCGTGCCACATCAATGACACGGCCTTCTCATAGGTCTTATGAGATTTACCTCACAGGGTAACCGTATCTTATCATACGGGGACAATCGTACCGATGGCCCATCAAGCTCACATCGATAGGCTACATGTTCATTTTCATACATAGATCACACCAAACTTTCATCACAATTTAAATCACACATATGCATAGATAATTTTATAACAACCCACCTGGATTCCGGATTGATAATTACTCAAAGCAATGGGAGTAGGTCGAGGCTGGACTCCTCGATTACCTACATTGAGTCAAGATGCTACAGTCAACATCTATCTTGACTTTAAACAGAAAACACAAAACAGACCTAGTCGAACTTGTTTCGACTAAGTAGTTCGTGAAGTCCTGTGGATGTTGGAACACTAAGACTCGGCACTAAACTCAACCAAACCACATAAGGGAGTTCACATAAATCCATCCAAGGATTGACCAAGTCAAACTCACATCAAAACGAAAAAGCAAGTCGATTTCCAAATTTTCATATAAAAATCATGTTTCCAAAGTAGCAATCCTTAATCGCATGAAAATAGATGGTCAAGCTACCCTACGACTTAGGCTCTGAAAATTTACACAAAATTACATCTCCCAGAAACATGTAAAACCACAAATTTTCAGCTTCAAACTCGCAATACACTATTTTATAAAATTCGAAAAAGATATCAACAAAATGGGAACATTAATTCATACTCGAACTTAATGAACGAATCAGAACTTGAAAATTTTACATAACAACATACAGCATGCTAAAGTCCATGTATAAAAATCTCAGCCTTAAATGATAACTGCTGCTATTTTTAAAAATTCATACGAGCAACAGCAGTTTATCGAATTTAAATCCAAACTGAATCAAAATGAACTCTAAAAATTTCCATCTTTTACAAACATGATCACACACATAAAATAGGCCTCTCAGTAAAATTTCAGAATTTTTCATGCAGTAACCAATTTATAAAAATTCAAACAACATTTCTGCAGATTCAATAAATAAAACATTAACCTCATCAAATCAAGTCCAAAAATTCTACAACATTAACACAACATATATAAGTCACCGAGGCATAACATAGTCGAATTTCAGCTCATTTCATTCAAGCATGAATTTGTTATTCATTTAACATTATTCTGATCAGATTACACTTTAATTATTAAAAATAGCTAAAGGCCTCTAACAATTACGAAATTTTTACACAAGGCAGGCAATGAACAGATAACATATCCCTCAAAATTTCAAATCGTTTCAAGCAGCGAGCTATTTTTAAAAATTCAAACACCAAAACAGGGATTCAAAAGCTCGACAACTTGGCAATTAATTCACAACATAGAATTTCTCGTCCGAGGCCTTTTCATAAGACCAAGGACTCGACATTGTTCCAATATCCACCGACTTACACGACTTTCGAGGTCTCGTTCGATTCTTGAGAAAATCGAAGAGGTCCCGAACATACGAAGACATAAAATCATAACAATATATATATTCGCACAAATTCACATAAATAAATTCACATCATTAATCAACGAGCACTTTACGAAAATAAACACTCAACGAAATAAAACATATATGAATTAAACGAGACGGAAAAACGACGAGGTACCGTTCTCGGGATTAACTCGAAAACGTCATGAATGCGAACGGGCTCGACGGAAACTCGCGTCTCGCCGGAAGAGGAAGGCTCGTCGCACGGGAAGGAGAAAGTGGTCGCTGCTGCTGGTTCACGAGCTCGTCGGGAAGGTCACCGGACTGGTTCGCGCGGGTTGCCGGAAGTGATTGCTTCACGCCGGCGATGATGGTGGTGAGATGAGGAGATGACGACGATGATGATGGAGAGATGATGGAGAGATGATGGACGAAAGAAAAAATCACAGCGAGATGATGATGGTGATGAAGGACGAACGTGAGGATGATGATGGTCTAGATCGTTCGTTTTATTTTTCTTTTCTGCGTGAGAGAAAACAGCGATGAACAAGACAAGGGAGGAGGGAGATAATCAAAATTTTAGCTGCGGGTTGTGAGTTTTGACAAAAGCAAAACGTGAGGGAAATATATATATATATATATATATATATATATATATATATGTGTGTGTGTGTGTGTGTGTGATATTAGGTTATGAAGTCTTGTTGTCCAAGACAAACACAAACACACACACGCGAACGAAAAAAAAACAAAAGGGGAAAATCTGTCGGGTCGGGCCCGAGAAGTTGGGCCAAAAGGATTTTGGGCCGGTTAGGACATCAAATCGGCTCACGGGCTCGATTAAAATTTAAACGGACATTTTCGGGCCCAATTTCGGTTCCAATGGAAATCCTCGGGCTCGATTTCGAATGCAAACGCGCGATAAAATAAACCGAACAATATATATATATATATTTTATATTATTATAATACACATTAATAATTAAATATATCACAAAAATCAATTAGACATTTACACATTTAGCATTTAATCACATTTGACAATTAATAAATATTATAGCATTCGAGAAAAATAAATATAAATATTATCACAAAAATAGCAACAATAATAATAATAATAATAACAATAAAAATAATAATAATATTTCTCAAATAATCCACAAATAAACGGGGCATTACAGGTGCCCAGCGCGCCTAACATCAATCGAGGCGTCAGTAGCGGACCGCCTAACAATTTCAGGCCGCGACCACCGGAGGTAAGAAACCTGTCCTTCGAAGAGATGCGAAGGAGGCGAGAGAAGGGGTTGTGCTTCAAGTGCGAGGAGAAATTCACGCCGGGCCATCGCTGCAAGCAGACCTACTTAATTCAAGTGGTCGACTCCGAGAACGACGAGCCCGCAGCGCGAAGTCGAGGTCGAGGAAGATGACCCCGAGGCGCACGAAGATGAGGCGGAGATCTCGATCCACGCCATGGCCGGAACGAGAGGACCAAGGACCATGCGCCTACCCGCGATGGTTTGGGACCGACACATTATGGGGTTCGTGGACAACGGATCGTCGTATAATTTCATTAACACGACGTTGTCACAAAAGCTAAAATTGGCCGTGACCAAGATAGAACCCTTCGACGTACGGGTTGCCAATGATGAGCATCTATGATACTGCGAGGCGTACAAAGGTATGCCGATCAAACTACAAGGCGTGACGGTAAAGGCCGATCTATTTGCACTACCCTTAGTTGGGCCCAATGTAGTTCTCGGGGTCCAATGGCTGGAGGGACTCGGGGACGTGACCACTAACTACCGCGAAGGAGTCATGAAGTTTGACGCAGGAAAGCGACGCGTAACCCTAAAGGTTGGCGGTGACGAAGGAGCTAAGGAGATAGGGCTCAAGAGTATCGAGAAATTGTGGAAGTGAGGTAGCCAAATATATGTTGTGGTCGTCGAGGGGCAGAAGGAAGGTCCAATGGCTCGTCGCGACACGAGAAAGAGATCCGGGGCCTACTCGAGGAGTTCGGCGAGGTGCTTGTCGAGCCAAAGGGATTGTCGCCAAGGAGAGCTTACGACCATCGCATACCATTGGTCGAAGAAGGACGAGCGGTACACGTCCACCCGTACCGTTACGCGCATTTCCAAAAGGCTGAGATCGAGAAGCAAGTCGGTGAGATGCTCGAGTCCTGGCTAATCCGGCATAGCACGAGCCCGTTCTCATCGCTGGTGCTACTCGCAAAGAAGAAAGATGGAACGAAGCGTTTTTGCACAGACTACCGCGCCCTAAATTCCGCCACCATCAAGGACTGATTCCCCATACCAAGCATCGATGATATGTTGGATGAATTAGGAGGCTTGCGCTATTTTTCTAAGCTCGACTTGAGGGCCGGGTACCATCAAATTCAGGTTGCAAAGACGGATATTCTGAAAACGGCCTTTCATACACACCAAGGGCACTACGAGTACTTGGTAATGCCCTTCGGGCTTTGCAATGCCCCGTCTACTTTCCAATTTGCTATGAACTCGATTTTTCAATAATACTTGCGCAAATTTGTGCTAGTGTTCTTCGATGAAATCTTGATCTACTCGAGGACATGGTCGGAGCACATCGAGCATCTACACGTGGTCTTGGAGATCTTGGCGCGAAACTCGTTCCACATCAAACCCTCGAAGTGCTCCTTTGGACAACAAACGGTCGAGTACCTCGGCCACTTCATCTCGCACGAGAGCGTAAAGGTAGATCTGAGGAAAATAGAAGCCATGATCGAATGGCCTAAGCCAACGAGCCTAACTCAATTGCCTGGGTTCTTGGGATTAACCGGGTATTATCAAAAGTTCGTGAAGGATTATGGGACGATTGCCAAGCCCTTGACGGAGATGACTAAAAAGGGAGGGTTTAAATGGACCGAGGTGAGCGAGGCTGCGTTTATAAAGTTGAAGGACACAATGACCACCACACCCGTGCTAGCCATGCCGAAGTTCAACGTCTTGTTCAAAGTCTACACTGACTCGAGCGACATTGGGATTGGAGTTGTCCAAGTCCAAGAAGGACAATCGTTAGCTTATCTTAGCTAGGCCCTTGGGGCTATGAAGCTAGGAATGTCGGTCTATGTCAAAGAGATGCTCGCGGTGGTCGAGGCGGTGCGGTGTTGGAGAACATACCTACTCGGGCGGCATTTTCAGATCGTGACCGACCAACAACCCCTCAAGCACCTCTTGGAGCAGAGGATTGTCACGCCCGAACAACAGAAATTTGTCTCGAAGCTCATGGGGTTTGACTTCGAGATCGTCTACCGACCCGGGCAACAAAATGCTGTCGCCGATGCACTATCGCGTAGGACGGACGTGCCCGAGCTAGGCGCGATATCCGGGCCGACTTGGGCCCTGTGGGATGATTTGAGACGCGCACAGACAGACGACGCCTTTTGTCAGGACATGCGCGGCAAGATGGAAGCCAAGGACGCGGCTGCCGACGAGTATGACGATCACGACGACCTACTCTTGTACCGAGGTCGCGTGTTTGTACCGAGTGTCGAGCCTTTAAGGGAGACGATAGTCAAACACTTTCACGACTCGAAGTTTGGAGGACATTCGGGTGTGTACCGCACGTGGATAAGGCTAGCTAACACCTTCTACTGGCCCGGGCAACAAGGAGAAGTGTAGGGGTATGTGGCGCGGTGCGATGAGTGCCAGCGGGTTAAGGCGGGCTCGCGCCGGCTCGGGGGATTGTTGCAGCCACTACCGGTTCCCAAACGGATCTGGGAAGACATCACCATGGATTTCATCGAGGGGCTACCCATGTCCAACGGATTTAATGGCGTGATGGTCGTGGTGAACCGGCTCACTAAATACGCGCACTTCATTCCCTTAACGCATCCTTACACGGCGAAGTCGATTACACGGCTATTTGTGGAGTACGTGATGAAGTTACACGGAGTTCCACGCTCGATTGTTTCTGATCGTAACCGTATTTTCATGAGACATTTAAAACTCATTTCCAAAAACAATATATAATTAATTATATTTTTACTCCAACAAAATAAAATTGTCAATTAATTTATAAAAAACAACACAAAAACCCTAATCACCAATCTACATTTAAAATGACTAATCAAACACACGAGAAAAATTCAATTATTATTTTACCAATCTACATTTAAAACTCATTTCCAACAACAACATATAATTAATTATATTTTTACTCGAACAAAAAAAAAATTGTCAATTAATTTATAAAAAACACCACAAAAACCCTAATCACCAATCTACATTTAAAATGGCTAATCTAACACCCGAGAAAATTTCAATTATTATCTTACCAATCTACATTTAAAACTCATTTCCAACAACAACATATAATTAATTATATTTTTACTCCAACAAAAATAAAATTGTCAATTAATTTATAAAAAACACCACAAAAACCCTAATCACCAATCTACATTTAAAATGGCTAATCAAACACACGAGAAAATTTCAATTATTATTTTATCAATCTACATTTAAAACACATTTCCAACAACAACATATAATTAATCATATTTTTACTCCAACAAAAAAAAATTGTCAATTAATTTAGTACAATTGCCACAACAAAAACCCTAATCACCATAATCCAACAATAACATCAAATTCATAAACAATTTGGATAAATATTTCAACATATATTAAACCAACATTCAAGATTTTCTAAACAATACTCAATTAACCAAATATATCTCTTAAACATTCATAAACAACCAAAAATTAATATTACATTATATTAAAATAACAACTAACCTCTTCTTCGACGATTGGTTGAAAATTTGTTTTTTTCCCGGGAACAGCTTCAATTCGCCAATAAATCGAGCAAAAAACGAGAGGAGAAATGAAATGGGAAAATTTGTTCTTTTTTTAATTGCAGCTTCAATTCGCAATAAAATCGAGCAAAAAACGAGAGGAGAAGATGAAATGGGAGAGGAGAAATGGGATTGCATCATATTTATCAACCGAAAAACGGATTTTCAAAATCCGTTTTACTCATTTAAAAAAATGAGTAAAACGGATTTTGAAAATTTTTATATGTGTGGAAATTTACAACATAGAATAGTAGTTGGATGGATATAAGGTAGAACTCATCCTCGACAAGAACTTCGAAACCCTACGCAAAAATCCAAATTGAGCGAAATTTAGGGGGGTGTATTCAATTAAGACTTTTAGTGACTTTTTAAGACTTTCAAAGTTTTGGGGTATTCAATTTATACTTTTTGAGACTCTCCAAAAGTTTACATGTATTCAATTAAAACTTTCCAAGAATCTCAATAAGTTACCCGTTATTCAAGTTGGTAAGATTGTATGAGACTTTACAAAGGAAAAGGATTCTTGGAGACTTTTTTACCAAAATATAAAGAAACCGATGCTTATGAAAATCTCACCAAAATTGTGAGATTGTTGAACGTGAAGGCTATTCTTTCTCTCGTCTGCAAGGTACTCTCATACTTTTTCTCTAGGGTTTGTATAATTTGAGATGCTTTTATATTATTGTATTTTGCAGTGTATGCCATGAATAATGTGTGTGTTCAGAAATTTGAGATGCTTTTGAAAAATCTCACAAAAAGTAAAGAGTCTTCACGTTATTCATAGTTATTAGTCGCACGAATCCGATTTTTTTTTTTTTTTGCACTAAAAAAGTTACAGATACAAAAAATGAGGATAATGTGCCCGGAAACATATTTTAAAAGCATCTCAAATTTATGGTGAATACATATTTTAAAAGCATCTCATATTTACATATTTTAACCTGTTTCGTTTAGTGGTTCTGGGTTTCTTTTCATAATTTATCAACTATTTACATCAAGTAATTTAAAATGAAACAGGTTATATTGAGTTTTTTGTTAGCTTAGCATTTCAAGATATTGCATTATCAAGTAATTTACAGGTTAAATTTTTTTTCGGAATTGTGTTTGTTTATAATTTTTTGATGGAAACATCATTTTTAATTTTATTTTCTTATGTATTTTTTTTCTTATCATTTTTTTTGTTAGAAAAATGCAATGCTGCTGTCTATGATATAGAATATTAAAAAAAAATTTCTCAGATTGCTCAGGACCTTAATTACATTACTTTTCTCCTTGTTTTGATATCTTTGGTTTGAGTTTATGGTGAATTTAATTATAAAAATATTGCCTTTGCTTTATGCACTTATAATAACAATTAATTATTTTATGTCCACGTAATGCTACTCCTCATACTCTCGTCTCTCTAGGGTTATACATCTTGTTAATTGATTGAATGTGAACTGGTGATTCATTTAATTTTTCTAGTTGATATTTTGTTTGTTTTCAGTGTTGTGCTTGTTCATTCGTCTGCCATATTTTTTTGGAGCTTATTATTTTGTTTATGCGTTCAGTGTTGTGCTTGTTCCATCCATCTTTCATATTTTTTCAGTTTTGTTTTTTATGTGTTGTTGCCGACGTTATGTGGAGCTTTTTTTTCTTTTTTTTTTTATTACCTACCAGATTCTTGTATTGGTTATGAGTACACAGTTTTGAGGAGTACACAATTCTGTTTATTTATGCATAGTTTGTTTTGAATGAGCATATAAAAACCATGTACATATATTCTAGTATCATTGAGGGGTTTAAAGAAAAAAAAAGGCTTTTGGATACCATTTGAAAGAAAATTATTGGGTTTAAAACTAATCTTTGTAGTTATATTTTATTGTTTTCTGTTTTTGTAAGTTTCACACATTTGAATTTGAAAACTTTTTTCTTTTTTACTATTGAAATTAATTCATGTAACTCTTGATGTGTTTTTTGGCTGAGCATAAAAACCTTTTATGTTGCTCAAGTTATATTATAACAAATATTTTGAAGTGGGTAATGGTGAAGTTCCCTGTTATGTACATCAGCATGCATAATAAATCATAAAAATTTAGGTGGCATGCGCATTTGAAAATTATTAGTCACACGACATGATCGAAGTATTATCTGGTTGAAGTGTTTGTAAATTTAGGTGTTTGTAGCAATGGTAGATTCATCACAAGGAAATGAAAAAGTTCAGAGATACGAAATATGGACATCTGAAGAGAGTAATGAATTGCTTAGACTCATAGTTGATGCAGCCAATCGCGGATGGCGTGATAAGTCTGGAAATTTGAGTAAAGTAACCGTAGAGAAACATATATTGCCCCCTCTTAATGCAAAGCTTGGAACTGAGAAGACGTATGCTCAATATAAAAGTCGTGTAAAATGGTTTAAGAAGCAATACGATAAATATGCCAAGCTTATGCGACATAACTCGGGCTTTGGCTGGAATGACGTGACCAAGAA